AATGATTCTATGATTCTATGATTCATTGTCGCTCACGAATGCTTTGCACATACGTGGGAGTTCCACTGCCATGATTCCTTCTAAATTCTATCCTCACATTAACAGAAAAGAACCACCAAGCTCCTTTTCACAAACTTAGGAACTATGCTTCATCTGTCACTTCTGTAGCCCAGTTTTGCCAAGCCATGAAAAGCAGCTATCCATATTCTGTGCAAGAACAGGCACAAATCACTAAACACATACTAAAAAGGTGTCTGATCTTAGCGGCAGCAGCTTGCCTGGTTGTTACCTTTCATAACAGCTTGTAGTGAAGCTACTTCTTCTTGCCACTGTCTCTTCACCTCATCGATAGCTTCCTGCTTTGTATTCTCAGATACTGTAGCTATAGCTTTGATGTTCTCCATTTCAGCATGAGCTTCCATCAGCTGGGTCCGCAATTGTCCCAGATCATCTTGGGCTGCTTGCAGCACTGCATTTTGTCTTTTCAGGTCCTCTGAAAAGAAGTATTATTTACATTTAGCTTGATTAAAGAATTCAATCTAAAGAGTATCCATAGTTGCTATGGCAAAGAACAGTGGTCTAACAAGGGGATGAAGGAAGCACTGATATTAGAGCACCTACCCATAACAACTGAACAGATGTTAGCAGGTGTCTTTAGTCTTTCTTGACTTTACTTGCCCTTGCCTTTTATTAAAAAAGTACCTTCTCATGGACACAACCACAAAGCAGACACTGTAGATACAACCTGTGAATCAATATACCTGATGAAAGTGAACTCTGCTTTTAATTAGTTCATTATTATTTAACTCATTCTGGTAATGAATCTGGAAAAGATAAGAACAACAGACAGGAAGACAGTTCTTCCCCCGTTTTTGGCACCAACTTGGTCCTGAATTTGGATAGAACACTTCGTATTTCTTGAACAGAAACACTCTGTGATCACTACCTGGAGCCCACATAAGAAAACTACGCAGCCTAATTTGTTCTTTACCATGGCTTTGCTAAAACTAAGCTTCTACTAAAAAAAAAGGATACATTCAATGAAACATCCACTACTTCTCTAACTGTTGCAATTATAAACAGAAATTAAACTAATTTCACATTATCCTCCTGATTTTTCGGTTAATCTGAAGCAAAAAGCTCTGGAAGATATATATTATACAATTCATTCCAAAAGCACTAACACAAAATATAGTTTTATGCCCACATAGCCTATTTCAATGGCAATCACTTTTAGCAGAAACACCTGACCAGTGTACAACGAACAGCAAGCTATCTCCATTTATTTTGCTCAGTACCAAAATGCTTAATCAATCCTGGTGCCCAACACTTTACCCTTTGATAGAGAATATGGAACCTTGAGCTAATCGGGTACTCAAAAGGGCATTAATCCCTGTGTAAAAAAACCAAGATCTTGTAGCATTTATATTACTTAGTTCTCAAATGACAGTATCAAGGATGGGCTGCCACAGTCCCAATGTACATTCAGGAAAGGGTCTTGGAGAACAGGGAGGGGAAAAAGCTTTGGGGGGGAGAAGGGGGAATAATAAAAATAATTGCTTGTATATTCTCCTCTGGTATCTTTTCACTTCAGTACATGTGAAAGTTGGGTGGTTTTTTTTTTTCCACTCATCACAATTTATTTTTATTTTCTATTTTTTGAAAAAGAGAGAATTATTGCTGATCTCATCAGCAGTGTCTTGTATCTTAAATTTCCTTTCATCCAGCTGCTAGAAACACAAAGAAATAGGCCTTCTGCATGATCTGATCTTCATTATGCCTGTTGTATTTCTGCTCTCATAAGCTTAAACAAGCAGCTGCAGTCTTAATGCATTATTTTTTGGCTTTGCTTTCATATGTTAAGGACAGGAAAATCATCAAGATTAGAAATAAATCAATTTGGCTCTCAGAACAGCAGCTATCTCTACTCTCCAATTCTTCATCAGATATTTGAGCTCATATGGTTCAAATTTTCCTATAGTGTTATTGAAATAGATGCCCTTGGGTGGTATTAAAACTTTTATGATGTTTGTCTGCTTACATTCTACCTCAAATGGAAATTTAAGACAAATTAATACTACATAAAGAAGCTAGCCACAAAGTACAAACAGCACACCATCTAGACTATGTCTTTCCACTTACCAGATCAGCTGCTGTTCAGAGAGAATGAGCACACCGTAACTTCAGAAAGTTAGTATTAAAACTCAGTGGTGGTGTTTCTGCGTGTACATCAAGTTGCTCTGCTGACTCCTATCCATGCAGGCAAATCTTTAAATTAATTCTAAAAATTCATTCTAGGAAGCTAAATAGCCACCTATTGAATTTTACTCTCTGCTTGTCTCTTATGTTTTTATTATGTGTCTGTTTAAAAGACTAGTCACTTTTTTGTTTTTGGCAAATCAGAAATAACAATCATGTTGGATATGCAGTCAACTATTCCAGTACTGGAAGAAAAATCCCTTAAATCCTAATTATCCTTAACCAACTTAAAAAAAAAAACCAAAAAACAAACAACAAACCCCCAAAAACCCAACAACAACAAAAAACCAAAACAAAACCAACCAACCCCCCCCCCCCCC